AGTTCAGAGACGGTTGCGTCCATGGTGTCCAGAGCTCCTTATCTGCTCAACTTCAGCGTGAACAGGCTGGACAACAGATTGGGTTTTTATCAGCAGCAACTTAGCCTCAGTGCTAACAATGTATGCAGCTATGATTGGAGATATAATATATGAGCCGTGCTATTATGCTTTTGTTATAGTGTGTTATTACAGCTTATAGGTTGTTTTGCATTTCTCCCCAGACACGGAATATTGTAGCTCGTCTTCCCAGGTTACTGTGTGGCAGTTTGGAGCCCGTTAAAGAAAACTTAAAGGTACAGGAAAAACAGGAGACATTATTAGAAGTTGTCAGTTTTCAGATGTGTTGTTCTCAGTAGATTTTGTTGATTTACTCTACAGGTGTGTGAAATAGAGCTTGGCTTTAAGAGAAACGAGATCCAGCACATAGTTCTCGCTGTGCCCAAACTTCTGACTGCCAATAAAAGGAAGCTGACAGAGATATTTGACTTCATCCACAACACCATGAAAGTACCCCACCACCTTATCACCAAGTTCCCACAGGTAGGCCTCTCTTGCGCTCATATTTTCAAGTTTTAAAGTACTATGAACTGATTTTCTTTGGCTGTTTTGAGGAATTCTAACTCCAGTATCTGACATCTTTTTCCAGGTCCTCAATTCCAAGTATTTGCGCCTCAGAGAGCGCCACCTTTTCCTCGAGTATCTCGGAAAAGCTCAGTATGATCCAACCCTGCCCAGCTACATCTCTCTGGACCGCTTGGTGTCTTTGCCAGATGAGACGTTTTGCACTGAGTTGGCTTTGGCCACACTGGAAGATTTTTATTTATTCCAAAAGACACTTTGATTTTTCACCAACAGCCACATCAGTTATGTGCCAACATTAAAATATAAACATGGAGCATCAAAAGAGCTTGAAATGAACTGTTTTGTAAATATAATGATATATTAAATAGTAATGTTTAAAGTAAATGGACTGATTCTTACATAGTGCTTTTCTACTCTATTTGAGCACTCACAACACAACTTGCCTCATTCACCCATTCACACCCATTCATGCAAGCAGTTTTTGCTCTTTCAGCCGCAGCAATTGCATAATACAATCATGCAGCTATTTAAATTATCTAAGTTGCATCCAATATTTTTCTGGTCGGGTACCGAAAACCAACATGGGAAATCTGCAATTACCTAAATGGGTTTTCCTTTTCTCATTTGAAAAGCTTGATTGTGAAAGATTCAAATTGCTGATGTCCGCAGTTTTAACTTTGGATGAAATAATAAACTATTTCACACATGCTTTAGAATGAGCAACCATTACTGAATGAAACTTTGAAATTATAAGGACATTTTTAATCTAAATAGGTATTTTTGTCATCCATTCATTTATAAAATCATAATAGTTATTTGGGTTGTGTGTGTGTGTTGTTTTTTTGTTTTGTTTTTTAAATGTTGGATAAGTACAACTCTATTCCTTAATTGACCTCTGTGGATTTGAGCACCTGGCAAACATCATGCAAACTTCCTTTTAATTTTAAAATTTTAATTTTTGGTTCTGATCAGCTCCATTTATTAATATTTTTAATTCCTCAGGAATACTCATAAACACTGAGGTCCTGGTATATGCAAACTTCTGTCTGGATCCTTACAAAACAAAGATGTGGAGCAATGTTAATAATTTTTGGGAACACTTTAAAAAAAAAAAATTACCAGTTTCCGATACCATTGTTGTAAACAGTATTCTCTTAAAAATAACAATACGTTAACAGCACTTACTGGACTTGTGGAGTTATTTTAAAATCCTAAGAGACTTGTAAACATCTGAAGAAAAATATTCTTTAATCATAGATGCAGACTCATGCAGAAATATTGAAATTTATTTTAAATTTCATTTTGTAGAGTGAGAACAGACAGATGGGATTCTCAAAGTCAGTCAGTTTCTCTGGGTCTGACACAGAAACAGCACACAGTTTTGGGAAGAAGCCATTTTCTTTCTTCTTCGTAATTTTAAGGTCCTCGGACTTTTATGTATTATTGTAAACAGATACAGCTGGCTCAGACATTAATGGAGTTTCAGATGGAGGTTCCTCACAGGGAACATCAGGCATTATTTATACAGTAGTTACACTGATTTACGCTTTATCTTCCTGAGACCCAGCCTGTTCATTATGTCCTCTGTAGTGGACAAAAAACTGTAAGATACTTTTTTTTCCTTGTTTCCCAGGAGGATATTTATACTGCATTGATAACTATTTATACTGTATTATATTGTTTTATATTATGTATACTGTATTATCCCGATTTATAATTTATTTATACTATATTTTTACTGTATTTATTCAGTGTTTACGCTGATTTAAAGTGTATTTACACATTTTTAAACAAAATTTCCGCTGTCCGTGAACGTCGGACCTTACGACAGCGTGACGTCTGATAAAGTTACTTTTGAACGCATCTTTACCCACAACCCACCGCGTTCCTTCTCAGCGATAAACATGGCGACGAGGGCACCAGGTAAATTAACCCCTATCCTTTTTCATATTTCCAGGTTATGCTCGTTAATCCTCTCGTTTTTAACCTGTGGTCAGATCTGTTTTATTCTCTTGCTCACAGCAGGTCGTTATGTTTACTTTGTCAGTATAATTAGGCCTTCCGGTGCCTTTGACTAGTCTGTGTCCTCTAGTGTCCCCGTGCTAGCTGATGCTAACGGGTGCTGGTCAGCTAGCGTTAGCTTAGCGCTCTCCAGTGCTGGTAAAATAAGATAAATGGTATTAAACAAAGACCTCCATCCTGTTGCGCAATAATAAAAACTGTGTTTTACTAAATGACTGATGTAGAGCTCAGCCGTCGTTTGGAGTTAAATGTAAGAAATCAACCAAACTGCTGTTAGCTCATTGCTTATGGAGGTTAAAGTTTGTTTTCTTCAGTGAATAGTTACGTCTGTCTCACAGTGACATCTGAGTGGTCGTAGTTGAATGGTTGTTGTCTGATATTCATACACCACATTTGACTAATTGCCTCTTATAAGATGACATATACTTTATGTTGGGAAATCACTGTTACAGCAGCTCATACTAAAATAGCTCAGTAAGATAAATAAAATATGACAAGATAGATTTCTCCCTGTATTTGTTAACTAAGACATCCATGTTTAACTACTAGGTCTCTGATCAGGTGATCAGTGATTGTTGGTGGTACTTTGGTCCAGGTTAGAGAAAGGAGACTGCTTTTGAGATTGAGGTTCCCTAGATCTGTGACACTACTGATACCATTAAAAAGAAGATTAAGGGCCACCTGTACAGGCTTAATTTTATTTAAACCTATCTATTTATACAGTTATAATTTTCTTATCTTGTATTGTAATGTGCTTCATAACTAAAGTTGACTGACTTAAATATGTATACTAAGTGGCTAGAACACTGTTCTCCTTCTTTCCTTCCATCCTCACTGATCCTGTCTGTTTCTGTCTCTTTCTCATGATTTTTTTTTTCTATTTCTTTACAGCTGCAACAGGAAGGCTCCTGGTTGGCTTCCGTAAATGGTATTACAACATGTGTGGCTTCAACAAACTTGGTAAGGCCAGAATATAATAATTTAAGATGATCAGAGTTCATTAGCTAAAAATGTTGCCAGTTTCGAAGCTTGCTAATGAAAACAGGATTGTCTTGAGCTTGTGGGTTTTCTGTTGCAGGTTTAATGCGTGATGACACGATCCATGAGGACCTGGATGTGAAAGAGGCCCTCAGGAGGCTTCCAGAGAATGTGTACAACGACAGGATGTTCAGGATCAAGAGGGCCCTGGATCTCTCTATGAAGCAGCAGATTCTTCCTAAAAACCAGTGGACAAAATTCGATGAGGTGCTTTCACACAAACAGACTAAATTAGCATTTTCAGTGCAGTGTAAAATGTAGTGTTAATGTTAACATGGATAGATGTAGTATTTTTCTGTTGGTCATTTCATTGGACGTGATTATTTGTTAAGTTTTCCACTGAGGCTTGAGTCATGCAGTCCTAAAGATTTGTCAGCACAGGTCTGGCAGCCACTGTTTGTTTGGGGAAAGTCTGATCCCCTGATTGGTTGTGAGTGGTCTTGGCACTTGGTTTGAAACTGGTAGCCACTGGTTGCTAGGGGCAAGTATGTATTCTGTAACTGGTTGGCGACTGGTTTCTGGAGGGTGTTGGGAGTCCATAGCCTGAAGGTGGTTGCAAAGTGGTGTGCAGTGCTGCTTTGTTGCTAGTAGTTTGCACTTAGGATGCTAACTTGTCTGCAAACTTATAACTAGATAAAAGTTGTGCAACCAATACATTTCAAAAGCCACAGCCTTCATTCTCCTTTCCTGGTATGTATCACACTTTCCTCACTACCAATTGAATAGTTTGCAAATGTTCACAAACAAGTTGTCTTCCCTGCAAACTACTGGCACCAGTTTGCTAGTGACTACTGTAATCATAAGGATGTTGTTGGTGCAGAACCCTCTCTATGATTGATTTCACCTCTTATCAGTCAGCTGGAATATAGCTGCTGATGAGTCCTAAGTGAATTCTCAGTGTAAGATATGAAATTTTAGTCAAAGTGTGGAAAAGAAAGATAAGTAAACAGAACTATCACAGAGGTTTTTGGAAAAAAAAATTATTATCTTAGTTTAGGGTGGGATTTTTAGCCTTTGCTGATTACTGATGTCATGTATTGTGCCTTGTGTTTTTCCTGCAGGATGTCCACTATCTGACTCCATACCTGGAGGAGGTGATCCGTGAGAGGAAAGAAAAAGAGGAATGGATGAAGAAATAGACCATTCCAGTTCGCAGCTGTTAATCTTAGTCTTCGGTTGGTTCGTGGTCGTCCCCTGGTGTAATATTTAACATGAAATGTAATCTACATATATAACACAGTGCTCATTAAAGAAATGTACATTTTGAAACATGTCTGTCATTTATTTGATATATTGATATGACAAATTACAGTTTCAGAATTACTATAGAAGGATCTGTCACATGTTTCAGTGTTGGGCTGCTTATAAATATAGTTACAGCATTTAAACAAGAATATATAAATTAAAACAACATGCACTGTATATACAGCTAATAAAACATCTTAGCAATAACCACTATAGTTGCTATCTGCATTGCACATCTGTTTAGTTTTATATAATTAAGTCCTGGAAGAAAACAGTTAGCATTTGTTGACACTAACATAATCCCTGTCTTAACTATAGTTAAATCTGGTTTACTGGATCCATTTTCACAGGTTTGAATGAAGCAGCAGACTTTGAGCTCAGGACTAGTCACAGTAAAAATCAATCGTCTTTCCAAGTCTGGGATCTCCTGTTGTTCACATCGGTTATCGTACCTATAAAAGTGCCGATGACGGCGTTAAAAGATTTCAACATGGACACCCCTAGCTCATTACTAGTTTCATTGATGTCTGGATCGTAGGCCCCCATGATGGGGGTGCACACTTCCACCCCATCTCTATCTGCTCTTTCCAGGATGGCCATCAGCTGGATCCTGATCTCCTGAAACAGCTCCGTGTTGTAACGCAGCAAGACTGAATCGTCCAGAGGATACGTGACATCATCTGCGTAACATTCACGGGGCACAGGTGCCTCTATGTACCTTAACTTGGGAAACCCTACAGATAGAGTGGAGAATAACCTAAGCAGGGCAACAGATGTCAGAGGGTTTCCCATAAGTCTGAGCTCCTCCAGTTGCTGACAGCAAGCCAGAGCATTAGTGAAAGCGTCCATGTGCTCGTCCTTTATGTTGCACTCCTCGAGAGCCAATCTCGCCAGAGTTCCCGAACTCCTGCTAAGCAATTTGTGTACAGGGGTGGAGAAAGAGTCAAAGAGGTTGTGTCCACTGATGTCAAGGTGAACCAGGGTCTCACTGTGGAGACTGTTGGCCAGGTAGGTCATGTCTACACGGTTCAGGCAGCAGTTGGCCAACTCCAAGCATAGTAGAGGTGTGTTGAGAGGACTGAGAAGGAAACAAGGGAGAATAAAAATGACTCTGGTATGAAATGCTAATAGAGGTAGACATTTGTAGTCAAACAGGAGCGGTACAGGAAATGCTTAAAAAGGTACAGCTAACAGGTGACAAAGGATAAAAGAGAACACTCATGGCTCTTATACACTACGGGCTGGCACGTTTTCCTTAGACGGAAGTGTTACGTTAAATCAGTGAAGGACGTAGAGATCCACTTCATCAGTATGAAAATGTTTTTCATTATGTTGGTTGGTCACCCATCTGTACATCTTTGTAAACGCAAATTCAATCTTTTGTCAAAGTCTTTGCTCACTTATTTGTTAATTTTATGAACAATGTGCTGCAAGCTTTTGCTCATCTACACCTTGTTTATTGAGCATCAAAACATTTTACATTACAAAATCTATACTGTGCATACTCGCTCCTGTTCTATTTCCATTTGAAGGTGAAGAATACCCAGCGGGTCTTTGTCCTGCAGCCACCTGTCCTCGCACTGGCACCACATCAGCAATTTTAACAACAGAATACCTTCCACTGTTGTACAATTGACAAAGGTTAAAGGTGGGTATTTTGAGCTGTGTTAAAGCTCTTGGTGTTGTTGCTGATCAGGTCTACAATCAGCATGCATTACATGAATAGACAAACTTAGGGCACCTTGTTGTCTGTCTCTTTATTGCTGTGCTTGTACTCACTTTAGCAGTCTCCGCAGGTGTCCAGTGAGAGTAGAAAAACCAACATAGAGCTCAGTGAGGCTGCTCAGTCGTGCCAGCAGGTTGCCAATGGTGGCCAGCAGATCCTCGTCGTCAGAGCCGAGCCTCCTGACATCCAGGGCGCTGGCTGGCAGGGTCAGAGACTGTAATTTGGGGAATTCCACCCTGGACAGCAGCACCTCCAGGTGTGAGGCCTCTAGAGGAATATTGTGCACCACCTCCAGCTTTGTGATGGACTCTGGCTCTGCTAGGCGAAGAACATAGAACAGCTGCTTGAGAGTGAGAGAATCCGCCCTAAAACTAACAAAGCGAAGCTTCAGGGGACAGTAACGGAGGAGCAGGAAGGCCTGAGCTACCAGCTCGTAGTTGCGGCCTGTGACGAAGCCGTTCAGACGGACATCAACAGATGTTTCAAAGGCAGATTGGGACACGTCCGTATCTTGCATGGCCACCATGGTCTCGTAGCACAGTTTTGTCAGGAGCTGGGTTCTTGCCCATCGACCCAGGGTGGATTTACAAGGGCAGGCCTGATGCTCAGTGTCCTTAAGGGCAGTCAGGTCCACCGTGTGAAGGCTCTTGGCATATGTTCTCGGGGGAGACAGCACATAATCCTTAGAAAACAAGAGAATATTACATTAAAGGTGACTATTCATGAGTGTTTTAAGGCAATGACAACAGAAATGCAACTGAAATGAAAATGATTAGGGGTACATTCAAGGTGGGTGGTTTGGTACCTTTAGGCCGTTGAGAATTGCTTCCAGACAAAGCCGGCAGGTGCGAGATGTGAGGTCTAACTGACAGTCGGCTGTCTTTCCCAGAAGTCTTTGTAGGTTGAGTTCAGGAAGAGGCCACATCTGGACCAAAGCATGCAGCACCTCAGCCTGCTCGTGGAGGTAGCAGGCCTTGAAGAGAAGTGGGTAGAGGTTAAAAGACACACAGGTGAGGTTTTCCAGAGTTCTCGCACCAGCCTGAATGAAGCCCTCAGCAGCAAGGAATCGCAGGGACTTCATGTCTTTAGTTTTTTTTGTGTGTGCTGGTATGTATTTGATTCAGCGTCTTGTCTCTTTTGTAGCTGCTGCTCCGTTGGTATCTTCTGTTGCTGTCTCTGGGTGTTTTGCTCTGGTGAGGCAGGAGAGAGGCACAGAGGGTAAGTAAGAGGGTTGAGGTTATAAATAGCAACAGCTGTCTCACGTCCTTCGCTGGACGTGGTTTCTATTTGCAACTTTTGCCAGACAGATTAGCAGGAACAACATCTGAATCCTCACGAGAAGCTTCACTTTCCTCCTCACAGCACACCAAATGTTTGGCGTTTAAACACAGGTTTAACTATTTTGCCATCATGTACTTCATTTTATGTATCTGCTATTCTTTTCCAACCAAACTACTTTGTACAACATAGAGGTGCATGCTTGCAGGGCATTGTTGTGCAACTGAGGATTTTTGTCAGGGGAGATACTGTGGTCACTGCCCCTGTACTAACAGAGCCATCCTCATATAAATAATAACAGTCTAAACAACTTTATTGCATGTGTCTCACATTTGACATTATAATATCTGTATTGGGGCACTGATGAGAAAAGAAAATCCAGAATAAGGTGAAGACTAAGCTAAAATATTACTAAGCTGCTCTTACCTGTCTTATATGATGTGTATTACATGAGGTTATGATGGGTGGTAGTGGTGATGATGGTGATGATGCTCATGGAAGTGATGGTGCTCATGTCTCTGGGCCAGCGGGACACCAAAGGAAGGCTGAAGGCTGTAAAACGTCTCCCTGTCTTGTCCTGGCTGTGCCTGGAAGCCAGCGTGTGTATGGGGCGAGGCAGAATATTGTACCGTGGAATGAAGCTTCCTGCTGTGGGAGCGACGCGGGAGGCTCTGGGAGGCTCGAAGGAGAGTCTGGGTAGGATGGCACCACGAAGCAGGATGCCGGCCATGCAACCTGCAGGACTTTCTCTCAGCTCTGGTCCTATCACACATGGATCTGCTTCTCATGGAGTAAACAACACGGAGGTCTTGAGGTGACTCAGAATGCACAGTGTTCTCACAGTGCACCACTAGATGGTGCTGAAGAGGAGGTGAGTCTAAAAAAAAAAAAAAACAGAAGAAAAAAACCCTTAAGTGTATTTTCCAGAAGACGGACGGACGGACGGACGTACACACACACACAGAATTAATGGAGCTTTTATGATACCTGCATTGTCAAACTTGGAGGCATAATTTTCAATGCCAGCTAGATCCTGGTAGTGCTTTCTGCGCTCTTTGTTTTCATCCACACAGAAGAGCCTTCTCATTGGACGTCCAGCTTCCTGAGATCCACTCTGCTCCTGCTCTGCATCTGTTTTCAGTGAGTGCAGGATGTTGGCATTGCTGACAGTTTAGAAGCTTATTAAAATCTTGACGGTCATGAACTGTTTAGTTTTGGGTCCTTAAATCCTAAAAATCACAATAACACGTACCTGTGTTTGAGCTCTTGTTTGGATAATGTGAGGAAGTTACAGCTAGCTTGATCCTGAGGGGCCTTGTACCACTGCAAGGTTGCTTCACCGATGTCTCTAAAACCTCAAACACGGAGTGCATCAGGCTGGACATGTCCTGCAGAACACAGATATACACACTGCATACAGAGACATTTTACATCTGAAATATGTCAGCAGCAAAAACAAAAACAAAAACCCCTCTCTTACCTCTTTCTTGACCTCATCTGTGTTGTCAAAATTGTACAATGTGAAGGTCCACTCCTGCTGAGAGTCGTCTCCAGGCTGCACGTTACCCTCCATGCCCTGTGTTCACATGCGAACATGCTGTCAGAATAATACTGATGCCATAGTTTGTCATTTACAGTAATATGTGTATTTGCTTATTATATGTATATGTACTGTAACTTTACACTCATGAGACATTTTATTATTATTATTATTATTATTATTATTATTATTATTATTATTATTATTATTATTATTATTAGGTACACCTTACTATTACACTCCCTTTTGCTTTCAGAGATGCTTTAATTCTTCATGGCACAGATTCAACAAGTGCTGAAAACATTCTTCAGAGGTTTTGGCCATATTGACAAAATATCCCCACACTATTACACCACAAGCAGCCTGAACTACTGACAAAAGGCAGGATGGAGCTACGCTTTCACAGTTTCCTGTTCTCAGCTGATAGGAGTGGCACCCGGTGTGGTCTTCTGCTGCTGTGGCCCTTCACAGTTCAGAGATGCTCAGAGATGCTCTTCTGCATATGACTGGTTATTTGAACTACTGTTGCCTTCCTATCAGCTCAAAGCAAACTGGCCATTCTCCTCTGACCCCAAAATCAAAAACTTCTACAAGGCCTAGAGATGAGCATGTGGGAAAATCCCAGCAGATCAGCAGTTTCTGAAATACCCATCTCTCTCTAACAATCACATGAGTTGCTCCCATGTGATTGTCTCAATAAATATAAGCACTTAAATGGCTAAAAAAAAACAAATTGGCCACTGAGAACATTACAGCCCCTTTATAATAGCAAAATTCTCCATAACAGCCTGCAACCAACCTGATAAGATAACATGTTTTATCAGGTTTGTTTAGTCCATTTCAAGAATACATATTTAAAAATGGGTGTTTATGCAGCTTTTTCTCCGAGACTTCTTCACAGTCAGGAGTCGTCGTCTCATCATGTTTTACTAGAAAACTCCACAAAGTCCCGGCACCCAACCCCACCAGTCTTGGAAAAACCAAAATCTGAGTACACACCAGTTGCTACAATTATACTATATTATAACGTTATTTGAATATCAAATAACGAGGTTACCAGTTACCTCACTCACAGCAGCACGGCTGCTGCTCCTCTTTGTTTCCTTCTTGCACTTGAAGTGAAAATTGGTCCCTTTATCGGGCGTCTTCTCTTCTTCTGGTGGCTGAACCACTAAACAGCACAAAAATGCATCATAATTCTCTTATTTAACAGACTCACAGTTTATGGGTACTTAAAATTATTGCGGTCTATCTTGTATCTTTCTGATTACTCATGTAAGGCTTTGTCTTAGTCTTATATGAACTATTTCCATTGTTTCGTTTAAGTGGATAAAACCCGATGACATTCACTAAACAATTAAACCTTTAAAGACCTTAGACGGGAAACAGGATGATGTGTGATCGCCCACTCACCCTTCATGTCGCAGTTATGATCAGAAGTGCTTTTCCTCAATTCCACATACAAGTTCTGTGAAAAGAGTCAAGAGTGTAAATTATCAGAGGACACATTTAAGAGCGGGAGGAAGCAATTAAGTGATTTTCTTGTCCTGTGAGTGTGAAGATGGATCTCCAGATGTGAGCAATGTTGAATAATCTGTGCATTTTTCCTTTTTATGAACCCCAAAACACAAAGCAGTGGTATGAATACTTTTGGCTTACTTTGCACAAGTTTAAACACACAAACATACGGCACTGCAAAGAAGAAGAAAGCCGGTTTACCCGCATGTTTTTGAATGGTTGACATCTTTTCGCATGCTTTCTTGCATAAATACACGAAGATGAAAACGCTCACTTAAATCCTGAGTCTTGGCTGGACCTCTTTGCACTTCAGGTTTAGGTTTAGACACACTGTATATGTGTTGACTGTTATAAGTCAGCTTACTTTAAATCCTCTAAATCCATTATATACTTATATGCATTTACACATATTTTCAAATCCTACAGCAGACAGGGTTGATGAAAGGACTTGGATCAATTTCTGTTACTTGAAAAATATCGAATAAATAATACTTCAAGAAAATTAATCTTTTTCTGCTTTAGTCTTCCAGTGCAAAACAAAAGAAGACAGGAACAAAAAGCCTCTTATCTGCCAACATGTCCCTCACCCGTGTCACACTGATGCTTCAGCAGATGCAGTTGAGCAACACAGGGAGTGATAATTTGTGGGCATGTCTGCACACCCGCATTCGTGTTCAGATGCAGGCAACACACCCAGCGTATCCTGCCACGCTCTGCCTGCAGTGAAGCTTTGATGAGAGAAGGCGGCATCACCCGTCAGTCCATGGACCCATCCTGATTTCAGTGAGCAGCTTGAGTTCATTTCACTAATGTGTAGCTGATGCACATCTATGCAACTAGGTCCACACCTAATAGCCTGTAGAACCACTTCAGTGGTCTCTCACATTGTTATGGAGGAATTTTGGCCAACTCTTCTTTACAGCATTGCTTCAGTTCATTGAGGGTCCTATGCATGACCTCGATTTTTTTTTTTTTCAGCCTTTCTGTTTGCTGATGTTTTGGGGATCGTTGTAGTTTTGGCCAAGCTTTACCTCTCAGACATGTGGCCACACATTTGAATCTAGAATACTTTGGTATTCAGAGGAATTCAGGGTTAACTCGATGACTGCAAAGTGGTGAGTCCTGTGGCTGCAAAACAAGCCCAAACCATCCCCCCTCCACCACCGTGCTTGAAAGTTGGTGTGAGGTGTTTGTGCTGATATGCTGAGTTTGGTTTTCTCCAAATGTGATGCTGTGCTTTATGGTCAAACATTTCCACTTTGGTCTCATCCGTCCAAAGGACATTTTTCCAGAAGTCTTGCAGTTTTTTGAGGTCCAACTTTGCAAACCTAAGTTGTGCAACCTTTTTACAAAGAAGAGCATTTCTCCTGGAAACACTTCCAGACAAGCCAGTCTTTTTCAGTCTTTTTCTAATTGTACTGTCATGAGCTGTAACATTTAACATGTTAACTAAGTTTTTGGGCTTTTCTCTGAGCACTGAACAGTCTGACTTTGGGGTGAATATGCTGAGGCATCCACTCCTGGGAAGATTGACAGCTAGCTTAAATGTTTTCCATTAGCTGTAGAATGATGAACTTAAACTGTTTGGAAATGGCCTTTTAACTCCTCCCAGATGGATGGACATCAACAATTAAGTTTCTTTAAGATCACTGATGACATTTTTCCTCCTTGGCATTGTGTTAAAACACACCTGAATGCTCCAGACCAGCAAACCGGCCAAACATCTGTTTTTAGAGGTGCTCAAACTCTCTTGATCAGTTAATCAAATGCATTTAATTGGCAGCTCCCGGCTGCTGCATAATTCCTACGGAAGCGGTAAGTGTGGACTTAGTTTTCCTGCACAACTGTGTA